TCACCAGTCCTAGCCCGTCTAGCCATAGATCTATGGGAATGGTGCTTGCAACACAAAATTCAAGTAGAGGTGCAGTATCTTCCTGGGGTCTTAAACATAAGGGCAGACAGGGAGTCCAGGGTCATGTTAGATCTTCACGATTGGAAATTGGACCCATTAGTGTTTGCGGAGGTAAATCAGTTGTGGGGGCCCCTAGAGGTGGACCTGTTTGCATCATGTCTGTCAACCCAGCTTCTTCACTTCTACAGCTTGAGACAAGACCCTCAGGCAGAAGCAGTGGATGCTTTCTCCGAAGACTGGAGCTTGGTAAACGGATACACATTCCCCTCTTTTGCACTCAGGCAGGTGCTTCAAAAAGATTCTAGATCAACAGGTTTTCTTTCTAGTTCTAGTGGCACCTGTATGGCAAGCTCAGCCTGGTACCCCTTGTTCCTAGAAATGTGTGTTGCCCCTCCAGTTCTCCTTCCACAGTATCCGGGCCTGGTAACTTGTCTGGGGGAAGTACACCCCTTCTCAAACCTACAGTTAGCCAGGTGGCTACTGCCAAGCAATCCTACTCTGAGAAGGGAATTTCAGAAGGGGCTCAAAACCTCTTGGTTACAGCCTGAAGGGGACCTCATCAGCCTATTCATCAGCTTGGGGAAAGTGGGATAGCTGGTGCCGTAAGTGGGAAATTAATTCAGTTCATGCCCCAGTACAGGCCATTTTAGAATTTCATACCGATGAATATAATGCAGGGAAAGCTTACAGAACGCTGAACGTTTATCGTTCTGCCATCTCAAGCACACATCCCAGTATTGATTCAGTGCAAGTTGGGGAACACCCATAAGTGGTTCAGTTATTGCAAGGTGCCTTTAATCTGAGACCCCTTTGCCCAAATACTCAACTACTTGGGACATTGATCCAGTTTTATCCGTTATTGAGAAGTTGGGCCCCGACCAATCCCTCTCGCTTAAAGACCTTTCCCTGAAGTTGGGTTTTCTATTAGCAGTCACCTCTAAGAATAGAGTCTCGGAAGTAGTGTCTCATGATCTTAGGTTTAGGCATTTCTTTCCAGAGGGTGTTTCCTTTCAGTTGCCTTTTTTGATTAAGAAAACCAAGGTTGGACAGAATTTGAAGACCTCCTTTCATTCCAGTTTCCGTAGTAATCCCAACCTTTGTGTCGAGCAATGTTTGAAAGAGTATGAAAATCGCACATTGCCATTCCATGTAGTGGACCCAGCTAAGCCTAACAGATTATTATTTTCCCATATATGACCTCACAAGCCTATCACTTCTGAGACACTCGGTAGATGAGTTAAAGAGGTTTTAGCCAGGGCAGGTGTTGACACCAATATTTTCAAAGCCCATTCAGTACGGGGGGCATCAGCTACAGCTGCTCATAACAAGGGCGTTTCCTTAGAGGATATCCTTCATTTGGCCGAATGGTCAGCACACAGTATGTTTAGACGGTTTTATTACCAGCCAACTCACAATCCTGGTCCCGCTCGTTCCCTGGTTAGCACCCCTTATGAAAAAGACACAAGCCCACTTTAAAGTCACATTGTTATACGAGACGACTGTTCTGAAGTATAATCACAGATTATGCCAGGGCTGCTAGCAGCCTGCAGTATAAGATGGATTATACGAAGATAAAGGAGGTGAATATAACAATGTCCCTCCCACCTCACCCTTCTGTTATTGGTTGGGCTTGTGTCAATCTCTTCATTGCTAACCCTTTTCTATTGCTTCTTCTTTTTTCTCTCTACAGGTTTCCCTATGGTTAAGCCTTTATGTTATGTTTGATGCTCTTCTTACTTGCCCCTTTTGGACGATGCTCAATAAAATGGCAAGGAGAGGAGAAGTGCGCAGGGACTTATGGGACTTGGTTTATGTTAATTTTCAACTATGTTCCGGTTATGCTTTGAACATGCTGTAAGTACTATTGATTCAGAGCGAACTAAAGTTGGTTACAAATTGTTATATTCGCCTCTTTTATCTTCATATCATCCATCTTATACTGCAGGCCGCAAGTGGCCCTGGCATAATCTGTGATTTTATTTCCTTGATAACCTACATTTTACAGTTGGACTGGTCTGTGCAGAGCTATGCTAGTCTAGGCGGGTCAGTCGCCCGATCAGTCTTGAGAATAACCAAGCTTTTTTTGAAAGCCAGGTATCTGTCTCTGAGGACAGCATTTGCAACCAATAATTCATCCACCATTCTTTTAGCGCGCACTTTAGTGTTGCCTCAGAGCATCAGGGAAAAATCTTATGGATACATGTTCCAATCGATTATGCTCGGTTGTGTACAAGCCGTGATTTAGCTGAATTTTTCACACTTTAGCTTCACGACTGTAAAGTTCATTATTCAATCAAATGTTCGGGAATCAAACTAAATCGAACACCAAAGTTTGTGTGACTTTGATTTCCGAAGCAATCGAACTCAATAGAACAAATTGATGCTAATCAAACCCAATCCATTAGATTGTGTCCGATTGAGTTCGGCAACTGAAAACAATCAAACTGTAGTTCATTGTGTTCGGTGAATTAATGTGCTCTAACAAAGTATATGTGATCTGACTGCCGGTATTTGGTTACTGTGAGTAAGCGAAACGAGCAAAAAAGGCAACATTGTGGAAATTATGAAAACATGTTTATTTCTTGTTCTTAAATCCAATGAACACAGAACTTAGAGCGTAGGCTAACCGTCTTGGAGTCCGGGCAAACTGGCATCCAGCGAACTGGCTTTCACATTAAAAGCAAAATGACTTCAATTCGCCGAACTCAGTTCAGAAAGTGAAAGTCAGTTTGATTGGCTTTGATTGACTATGCTTGGATTATGTGCTTGGGGAGGTTGAAGCCGATAACTTGACAAGCCTGGCGTTCTTGGTCGTTTTTCTTGACCAGGCAACAATCTTCATGAGTCAGGGAAGGGCATTTTAAATTATCCTCTCTCGTCTTTCCTGGGTGGCATCGTTTCAAATGTTTGTCAAGCCATATAAAATAAAGGCCAGTTTGTTTACAGCCAGGAAATTGGCAAACTGTCCATAGGCATGATTGAGTTGAACAATAATTGACAGAACTAAAATCAAACTTTATAGTAGCATTGTTTACGGGTTGCCTAGCAACAGAAGTGTGGGACTCGCAGCCACTGAGTTGATTTACATAATGCCAAATTTAATATATCATGACCTACGGCAACACTGGTGAACACTCGTTAGTGTCCTTCACACTTGTATACATAATAAAATCTGGAACGCAGTTATGCCATAAACACTTTATATCTTTGTTTTCCTTAGACGCATCATGACTGAAGATCACCGCATTGATTAAGTCACACTCACTAAAGTGACATTCAGAAATAAAGGAAGGTGGGTAAAGCAAGGTGGCATCGTCTTAAAATACATGGAGGCGGCAAACACCTAATTAAGGTCATTTGTTTTGAAGTTCAACAATTGTATAAAAGGCCTCGCAAACATAAAACTGGATTTATAAATCGCTTATAACAGTCTGTGATTGAGCATTATGCTAAGAAACATGAGTAACTTTTATGAAGTGTCTAAAGTGCTCGACAAGGGAAGCGTACCAATGCCCACAGTTCCTTGTTCACTTGTTCCTTGTTCGATTATGAGAGGAAGTACGATTGTGAAGCACCCATTGCTTGCAAAGATGTGATGCGGAAAATTGTTTATGGGAGAACTATTCCGAAGGTCTTATTATACTGAGAGCAGAACAAAAAAGCCCAGAGAAACCATCCCAAGGAGC